GACAAAGACTGAACGACTATTACTATACCTTGACGCTGTAGATGGATGTAAGTTTTTCGCAAACGTACGCAATCGTGTTATATATTCAGTCACATCCGCTGTCCCATCTGCTTGTGGTATAAAAAATTCGCCTGGAAGTCTAATAGTTTCCCCATATACAAGTTCTGCTGACGAAGCCTGAAGATCTTCTTTAAATGCGCTACGTATTCCTAACAATACTAAAGGAAGGGCCTGGACCCAATTTTCTTTTGCATGGCAGGTAATGGCGGCCTTCAGCTATCTATGAAATCGTTCAACTAATCCGTTGCAAGCCGGATGTTAGGCTGTAGATTTTCTATGCTGAAATCCTACCATATCCGATAAGCGCTTGAATAGCGTTGACTCAAATTGTCCTCCGCGATCCGATATAATATCTGTTGGACATCCGAAACGAGCTATCCATCCGCAGACTAAAGCTTTGGCTACTGTTTCTGCCGAAATGTCAACTAATGGTACTGCCTCAGGCCATCGAGTAAATCGATCGATTGCTGTGAGACAATATCGGTACCCTTGCGCTGATAGTAATGGTCCTATTAGATCTATGTGAATCTGCATAAATCTGGCACGTGGTAATTTGAAATTGCCTATGGGTGAATTTACATGCCTAGTGATTTTTGCACGGTGACATGCCAAGCACGTTCTGGTCCATTCTCGGCAGTCTCTTTTAATTCCTGGCCACACAAATCTTTCCGTTACCAGCTTGGCTGTGGCGTTCGCTCCGGGATGGCTCAGAAAATGAAGGCTTTCAAAAACTTGCCTACGAAGTTCCTTTGTTACGTATGGTCTTGGTGGATTGCTTCTCTCATTGCAGTACAGTTCGGTATGAGTACCTGGTATTTTAAGTTTTTTAATACACAAGGAAGTATTACCTTTCAGAAGTAGCTGTAATTCCTCGTCGGAGGCTTGAGCTTTAACCAACACTGTCATATCAATGGGCTGAGTAATGTCTTCAACTCTTGATAAAGTATCCGCTACTACGTTGCTTTTTCCTGAGATGTGTCTTATGTCAGTATTAAATTGAGAAATAAAATCGAGATGTCTGAACTGTATTGGTGAGCAATTTTCTTTACATGAGTGAAATACGTAACAAAGGGGCTTATGATCTGTATAGATAGTAAATTCTCTGGCTTCTAGCATGTATCTAAAGTACTTGATTGCTTCATAGACAGCTAGAAGTTCACGATCATAAGGCGAATACTTTTTTTGTGCTACACTTAGCTTTTGTGAAAAAAAGCAAGTGGCTGCCACGAGCCTTCTTTAAGCTGCTGCAATACTGTGCCAATAGCAGTGTCCGAAGCATCCGTTACTAAAGCTATTTTAGCAGAACAGTCAGGATGCGCTAAAAGCGTAGCCTGGCACAGACTTTGCTTACATGATTCAAATGCTTCTAGCTGCTCAGTGGACATCTGAATCGGATGAGAACCTTTAACTGTACCTTTCAAGAGTTCGTTCAGCGGTGCTTGATACTTAGCTGTCTCGGGGATGAACCTCCTGTAAAAGTTAAGCATGCCCAAGAATCTTCTTAGCTCTTTGACAGTTTTTGGCTTTGGAAAGTTTTTAATTGCTTCTACTTTGGATGGTTGCGGCTTTGAACCCTCTGCTGAAATATGATAGCCTAAAAATGTAACCCCGTCAGAGCCAAATACGCATTTAGCGGTGTTTATTACCATCCCAAACTTCTTTAGTCTAGTAAAAATCTGACGAAGGTGATCCTTATGTGTTTCGTGGTCCTTTGAGTACACTAAAAAATCATCTAAATAAGCAAAGCAAAAATCTAGACCACGAGTCATTTCATCTACGAAGCGCTGGAACGTTTGTGCACTGTTACGAAGTCCAAACGTCATCTGGAATTCGTAAAGGCCAAAAGGCGTTGTAATAGCAGTTTTTGGGATATCAGCTTCGTTGACTGGAATTTGATTGTAGGCTTTGACTAGATCGATCGTTGTAAATACTTTGCAACCGGAAATATTTTGAGCGAAATCCTGAATGTGACATATGGGGTAGCGGTCTGGAATTGTTCTAGCATTCAGTGCTCTATAGTCACCACATGGTCGCCACCCATTATCCTTCTTAGGTGTGAGATGCAATGGTGGTGACCACCCGACGTGATCTGAACACGCAACCAACAACCTTCGGAAACTACAACTTCAAGCCTTCGGTATTATCCTCAAGAACTCCTACCATTCACTATTGAGAATCGTCTTCTGCAGTCTTCAGTTCCTGCAAGCCAGTCCAACTTGTTTTCATCTCGACTCACCGCAGATTTATAAGGCAGACTTCTGGCACTTGCTCCGGCACATCGTTCTCACCGGCATCACTTGCCAGTGCGTAGTACGGCATGCATTACACATCGGCATATTATTCGCACCGGTGTCACTTGCCCTTACGCACACAGCATGCGTTTCCCACCGGCATTAAGGACGCACCGGCAATCAGACTGCACTGTCGACTTCCGGTCTGAGCAGGGGGGTGATGTGGCGGCGCTGTCGTCGCGCCACAAGCGAAACACACCGAAGCCTAAATCACGATATCAATATTCCGAATCATAAACAGTATATATAGAACATCTCCGAACTATCACACGGAGTGTCGGTCCCCGGGCAGAACACCTTGCCCGGCGGGAGATCTCCCCTGGCCTACTACGGCCACACCTATAGCGTTTTAGAGCCATGCTGCAGTTATATGAGTAGTATAGTTATAGCATGAATGGGTCGGCTCGACCGGGGAAGGACCATGCTCTCAAAGAATACCAGCGTAAAATAGTAGCTTAATGCTGCTGTTTCGTATGGTGAGTGTAGAGAACCGGTGATCCGTTTTACTGGAAACCAGGCATTCCATCTTAGTCCTCATGGCTGACAACGTATCTGCATTTTGATTCGTAATCCAGGATGGACGTAGACAGAGAAACCTAAAGACAAATTGACGCCTTCTTTCGCATTCGCACACGAAAAAGATAGATTTATGCATACGTCTTGCATAGAAATGAGACAGAGCCGTGTGATCGTTTGTCCCTTTCTCCGTGCCGGTTTTTTGTTTAGCAAACTGCACTTTGCTAAACAACTTTGACAGTTTTTGTATAACCTAAAACCATGTTATCGTCCTTTGTCATTCGAGGCCACGCTAATCGTTAGTCTATAGGTTTCTCTGTCTACGAGGATGGATGTAGATGTCTATGGGCCACAGCAACCACTTACCATCAGGTGGACTGTGTGCTCGTTTGTCACCTTTCCTATAAAAAAAACTTATCGATGATAATCGGTAATAGCAGCGTCCTTTTTCAGGCTTTCTTTATGTACTCATTTCTTATTTTATAACTAGTTGTGGGGTAAATTTTCTTCACACTTGTAACCAGTTTTGTTTTGCTAGTAACGCAAAGTCAGGAATTTGAATTTAGAAAAAAACAAAATTAGAGGCTTTTTAGGTGCTAATTAGGTACCAAGTTTAAAAATTAGGTGCTCTAAAATTTTCACCGTAACGAACTGTGAAGTTTTCGTTGCTAGCAAAACGTATTGCTAGCAACGCAGTGACAATAATAGATATATGATAAATATTAATAGCAAGTAATTAAGTGCTAATTAGGTGCTGAGAGTTTAGGCAATGAATGACAAGGCGCTTCTAATAAAAATAAAGTTGTTATTCAGAACAAAGCAGAAACAAAAACCAGGTTTTCTGAAAATCTACGCTAAGTCAGGAACTTGCATTTAGAAAAAGCCAAAATTAGGAGCTTTTTAGGTGCTAATTAGGTGATAAGTTTAAAAATTAGGTGCTCTAAAACTTTCACCGCAACGAACTATTGCGTTGCTAGCAAAAAGTATCGGTAGAAATTCAGTGAAAATAATAGATAATATACAATAAATATTAATAGCAAGGAATTAAGTGCTAATTAGGTGCTGAGAGTATATGCAATAAAAAGGCATAAAAGTGAAACCAAATCGATAGACGCTCAAGGTGGTACATGCACCTTGAGAGTCCATCGTTTTTGTTCGATAAATGGCTAGAACTGTAGAAAGATGAAGTTGGCGCTATTTATTACAAAGCAACTTTACTTTAGATTTAGTACATTAAAGTTTAGGCCTTATATGTGTAAAAATAATAATTGTAACATTTATTTGCTATAAAATTAAACTTATATCTCTTATATTTTATGCAAGTGCGGCATAATATATGAGATAGTTGAATATTATACTAAATAATATTGCAATATATTAAATCTGAAAGAGAACAAAAAATGCCGTTCATGCCTTATGGTAAGGTAATGGTGGACCCGATAATTCCCAGAATATTACCGTCATCTACATACGACCTTGACAATCTTTCAGCACTTAATTATCACTTAATTTTTAGGCACTGATAAAGAACAAAAAATGTCGTTTATAACCTTATGGTAAGGTAATGGTGATTGTGGATTCTATGATTCCCAGTGATTCCGAGAATATTATCTTATTCTGCATTGGGTACTCAGCACTTAATTCTTTGCTATTAATATTTATCGTATATCTATTACCATCACTGCGTTGCCAGCAATACGTTTTGCCAGCAACGCACATTTTAATAGTTCGTTGCGGTGAAAATTTTAGAGCTCCTAGTTTTTAAACAGGACACCTAATTAGCACCTCATAAGTCCCTAATTTTGGATTTTTCTAAATGCAAATTCCTGACTTTGCGTTGCTAGCGAGTCACAACTGTACTCTGTGGTTCTGCTTCTGTGTCTTTGATTAAACGGAAGCTTAGGCTATGGACTAGTATAAATATAAAACGTAGAATAAAAGTTGTTTGCTTGTGCCCATAGATTACTGTGCTTGTGCCTTCTTGTTTTTGATCGATGTCGGTGTTTTCATACCCATAATATTCTAAGTTAATAAACTTTGTTTTGTAACGTATCCTCTATCGTTACTAAAATGTCAGTAGCATTTGCGCCGAGAGGAAATCGGCCGCCATTAAATCCTGCCCAAATACAAAAAATGCTGGACGAAAATGCTCATTTAATACAAACTATTCAAGAGTATCAATCAAAAGGCCAATTGATGGAATGCCATCAATACCAACAGGTTTTACACAGAAACTTGGTGTACTTAGCATCTGTAGCTGATGCTAATCAAAATATACAAGCAATTTTACCGGTAACTACTTTGATAAACCATGAATCATATTCCTAATAATTTTGCTTTTCAGCAGCCGTGTCGAGTAGATTATTCCGACGATTAGTTCTATCTACTGGAGACTGAAATGTACTAATGTAATGTGTTTTTTGTTTGTTTGAATTAACGTTAAGAATATGTTTTAAGTTAACGAACTTTGTTTTGTAACATATCCTCTATCGTTACTAAAATGTCAGTAGCATTTGCGCCGTGAGGAAATCGGCCGCCTTTAAATCCTGCCCATATACAAAAACGCTGGACGAAAATACTCATTTAATACAAACTATTAGAGTATCAATCAAAAGGCCAATTGATTGAATGCCATCAATAACAACAGGTTTTACACAGAAACTTGGTGTACTTAGCATCTGTAGCTGATGCTAATCAAAATATACAAGCAATTTTACTGGTAACTACATTGATAAACCATGAATCATATTCCTAATAATTTTGCTTTTCAGCAGCCTTGTCGAGTAAATTATTCCAACAATTAGTTTATCTACTGGAGACTGAAATGTATTAATGTAATGTGTTTTTTTTGTTTACTTGAATTAACATTAAGAATATATTTTAAGGACTATCTATTTCATAAAAATATCTTGATGGCAATTGGTGATGCGACATGTTTCCAATGGTATTAACAGTTGATCAACTTTATTTTTTGAAATAAACATTATTCAATCAAATAAAGTACTAAGAACCTATTGTGAACAAAATAAGTTACTAATTCTCTATGAAATCCTTTGTGGGAATGGATCTAAAACTTGTGTTGTTCTATACAATTCATATGATAATCAATTGTTAACATGTGGAAGATACCAATTAGAGATGCAGCGAGTACTCGCTTTTATTCGGTATTCAGCATTATTCAAATTTTTTTTCTTTTTCGTTGAATCCTGTATAATTGTCGTTATATTGTGATGAATAGCTAGTATTATTCGGCATTTTGTGAATAGTTGTCTAAAATAAACTTTAAATGAACAAAAACATTACAGACTTAAAAATAAATTAAACTTAAGTTTTTCTTAAAAAACAAGACACAATATTAATTATCATGAATTTAAAAAGTTAGCCAAAAATCAGTCATGTCATTCTGAAGTTAATTAGTTAGGCTTTTTAATTAATATTCAACTCCTATTCTGTCAAAATCCAAGCGGTCGGATTTGACCGCGCACACCCACAGCACTTTAAACCATTAAAACTTATATTTAGAGACTACTTTTCTATGAAGAAGTTTGGCAATATAGAATCAATATGAAATTTTCTATTCTCTAGTGCAATAAAACGTTGTTATCCTATGGATATTTATTATAATCTACATTCATTTCATACACCATTTTCGCATGATTGTTTTTGTGTTGAATTTTGGATTTTTCTAGTATTTTATCATAAAATTGTAATGAAAGTATTTGTATGAATATAATTTATCTTCTTACGTAAATAATTTTGAGTAATATATATTGAAATAATTGTGATTTTCACGCTGCTTACATTCGCTTGGTATGTTTTGTTTTTGTTATCAAAATACAATAGTCCTTTTGTATATATAAATTCTTATGTATTTTATATTTGGCATTATAAAATATATAAGAATTTTGTATATATTTTATAATGCCAAACTTCATAGAAAAGTAGTCTCTAAATAGTAAGTAAGTTTTAATGGTTTTAAGTGCTGCGGATAGGTGCGGTTGCATGCTACCGCTCGGTATTTGCCGGGCGCATGCGACTACATGAGATTTTTATTGGGATTGAGGGGTTAAAGTCTAAAACGGTCGGATTGTGGTGCAAAGAAACTAGTTTTTCGTTTGGTTGCGCTTTTCTTCTTAAATCAAACCTGCCTCAGAAAATAGTCTCTGTATAAACAGATCTTGCTGGTGTGATTAAGTATCTAGTAAGTAGTAAGCTTACTTAAAATGGATAATTTGACATGATTGTTTTTCTTTTTAAGTTATACACTTCAACAATTTCACTCTTTAATTCAATTGAATAATTTTTAATCAAGAATATCTTTCTTAATTTAAGCACTTGTTCTGAAACTTAAAACTGAAAATTTAAATGTCGACCGATGGTCACGACAAGCAAGTTCATCACGAACGACAAAAAAAAGGGTGTCGGACACGAGTGGCAAGGGAAAGGAGGCACGTCATGCTCCTCTTCATGCCCATCGCTTCCTGTTTTGTTTTGTCGGATTTTTGGGCGCGAGTCAAAGGACTGGCAATATGAGCGCGAGTGGCCGGTCACATAATATCGCAAACGTAGTTCGATTCGAGCTCTTGTTACAGAAGCGTCGTTCTATTGTGATGAATAGATTTCATCCACCATCTGTTTCTTTCTTTTACTTTTTTTTTTTTAAATGTTACCCCTACACTAGGATTTTCTCCTGTATCGTGGGGACAGTTTACATAAATGGCACAAGGACAAACATCCAGACCCGTAACAATTATTTGTAGGCCATTCAAATACTTGTTCCATGCGGGATTCGAACCCGCGACCCCCAGCGCAGCCACTCATTGCTAAGACACTGCGCCACGGAGTCGTCAAATCTAGTCTCTGTTAGCGAGGGTGACTTTTCTTTTTATGATATAATTAGCAGTTTAAACATCCATTGTGTTAAAGCAAACACAACCTAGTGCGAAGCGTGTCGATTAATTGCGTGAGTAGAGCAGCCTTATTTGTGGTCATTACTGGTAGCCACCCTTAATGACTACAAAACAGACATGTTGCAATAAGCATATTTACCAAAAAATACTTACAGACAAGGGATTTGAGACAAAGTCCTTCACTGCTGGCTTTATGAGAAAGTTTAAGGTTGCTAAGCGAACTATGGAAAGAGCTATGCTTGGAGTTTTTTTTGTGTGCTAGACTTAGAAATGAGAATATAAGCAGTATTACTAGGGTAATCAACATAGTGCAATGGATCAGTAAGCTGAAGTGATATCTGAATGGGCCAGTCATATAGCTCGAAGAACTGACAACTAATAGGGAAGAAAGGTTCCTGAGAGAGGTCCCTCACTAAATAGAGTGATGACCTGGTAAGATGCATGAGTTTATTGGATCCGGGTGGCTAAAAAATGTGCTTTGTGGCATTCATTGGGGGATACCTATGTTCAGCAGTGGACTTGTGAAGGGCCGTAATGATGAAGACCAGACAATTAAGGAGGAGATCCATATCACATAACATGGCTTATAGATTTTGATCAATTAAAGTATCAAGTTGTTTATTTAGTAGTTTAAATTAAATTATTTTTAAGAGTATTCAAAAACAATAATAATTTGTAAATTGCTAAGTGTCTATTATAATATACAGTTATTAAGTTAATTACCTAATTTAAATTATTTATTAAATATACTAATTAGATTTTTTTAAACAACCAAAAATTTTTAATTTACATAATATCTTATTTCTAATAATTATGTGCCGCTGACCGAATTTCAATCACCGCGGCCAGTCTCATAGGAGACTAGTCATCTGTGCAGAAAAGGATTATAGTGACAGATTGTATGCGCAAACTCAGATGTACTCTTTATTCCCTCAGTCTAAGTATGATGGGGCAGTATACTCACACAACCTGAGAAACATTAGGTGTAGGACGGCTTTATGTGCTTTCCGAGGCACTGGAGTGAAACAAAGCCAACTTTCTGCTTCCGGGTTGCTAGTGAGATTTACTAGACAGAAAAACTTAACTGATTTTCTAGGCCCAACCTGGGATTTGATCCTGATGCCTCTCGATCAGTAATCATATGTACAACTACTACCTCTAAACAAACAAGGCAGCCAATGGTAATATAACTTTATTGGCACTGGTTTTGATATAGTACAATGACAATACAGACTTGCTGTTAAGCTGCCATGTTTAATCCCATTATTTATCGGTAGGCATAGTTCATTTTTTGTCTTATTACGAGAAGTTATAGTTATTTATAATTAAACTCAGGTTAAACTAATCTGTTTCATTAAAGTATGGGATTTGACAATAAATTTCAAATTTAGCTACGAGTAGTGCTGCGGCTAAGGGACATATATTATAACAATAACTTTTCTTTAAAGTGACTATCAATTAACCTTGTTAAGAATAAGAACACTACTTTTTGCATCCTACAAATAATAAAACATTGTATTAACCTAAATTGTTATAATTGCTACAGCCACCACATCAACTTGCTGCTGGTAATGTACCACAAAACCCACTGAATACCACCTCAAACGCAGCGGATATACCTGGATCACCTCAACAACCCTATCGTCCACCTGGAGTTTCTACAACACCTACAAGACCAACACAATCTTATGGACAAAGGCCATATCCTCAAAATCAATACCAAGGACAGTATCAGGGGGCACCAGGGGTTTATCCACCTCAAAGTGGGTATGGACCACCTAATCAGGGATATGGACCCCCAAATCCATCTCAACAACCTCAGGGATATGCTCCTAACTCCACATATGGTCCACCTATCACTACAACACCGAGTAATTATCCTCCATCTACACATCAAGGCTCTGGCTATCCACCATCAACTGTTCAACAGTCTTATGCTCCTCCTCCAGGCAGCCCAGCTGTAGCTGGATCACCCTATCCTGTACGTGGAGCCAGCCAACCAGCATACACTGGTAATTCTGGATATCCACCTCCACAGTCTGGGGCAAATTATCCAAATGTTGGAGTAAGTACATACAATTCGACTTCTGCACAGCCTCAGCCTTATCAATCTCAACCCTTTCCTAACACTACACCTACTTCTGCTTACAGCTCAACTCCTATATCTCAGCCAAATCGTTCCCCTCAGCCTCCATCTAGTGGATATAATTCACAAAACCCAAGTAGTACAGGATATGGTTCCCCTTCAGCACAATCACCTACTTATAATTCAAGTTCACATGGAAATAATGTTCCACCTTCAACAGTAGCATCAGGAGTTTCTTCCCAAGGAGGTCCACCTGGGCAACAATATCCACCTTCTGGACAACCATCTCCATATCCCGCGGCAACACAACCTCCATATTCGAATCCTTCCTCCCAACCTGGAAGCCCAGCGCCATCAGTTTCAACAGCACCACCCGTTCAGACTTCATACCCACAAAATCCACAAAGTTACCCACCTACTGGTGGAGCATATCCTCCCCATGCATATCAACAAAGTTATCCGCCAGCACAATATCCTCCTTCCCCTTATCCCTATGCGCGAGCTCCAGCTCCTGGGGCTCCACCACCTGGGACACCACAACCATATCCAGGTTATGGTTTTCAACCCCCAAACCAGCAATAGAAGTAAAAATAACCAACGAAATTTTTTGTGTAGATTTGGATAAAGTGCTTTTATAAAAATAGTTATATACTTACTGGATTAAAAAATAATATCAGGTATTTTTTTCTTTTTGTAGTAAAATAATTGCGTAAACAGTTATTTAAGATAAGCAACTAGATTAAGTAACTTTTAAATTTTATCCTTATTATGCCGGACTTTATAAAATTTTGTTTATTATAATATGTAATGAAGTGATTAATATTAATATGCTATTGTTACGATATTATGCATATTGTTAAAAAATGTGAAATAAATTAACTGATCTGATGAGCAATCTTGTCTAATTCACACTTATTTTTTTTCAATGATAAAGTGTAATAATTGCACTGTAGTACGCCAAAATAGAATAGTCCAGTCAAAATAGACATTTGACTTAGCCAAAATTCGCACAGAGCTGAAAATTGGCAGAGACATTAAATACATCATTACATATATAAATAAAATCTCAAAAATCCCCTTCGATCCTACTTCTGCAAAAAAATGTATTCAAGGTCAAACGTACAAAATTAAGTTTTTTTTTCCATTTTTCTCGAAAATGGTAAGTTTTATCGTGAAAATAGGTCAGACAAAAGTTGTAGATCAGACAATGACGGAAATGTGTTCATATTATGTAAAATATGAATTCTCTAATTATTAAAACCACGATATCTCACGAATGGTGAGTCGTAAGAGAAAAAGTGACTGGGCCATTTTTGTAGAGGATTGTATGATCTACAACTTATGTCTGACCTATTTTCACGATAAAACTTACCGTTATCGAGAGAAACCGAAAAAACTTAATTTTGTATGTTTGACCTTGAGTAAAATTTTTTGCAGAAGTAGGATCGAAGAGAATTTTTGACATTTTATTTATAATGATGTATTTAACGTCTGACAATTTTTAGCTCTATGTGAATTTTGGCTAAGTTATGACTTATTTTTGTCTATTTTGACAGGACTGTAAACTTCACAAGCAGAAACTAAAATAAACAACCTTTTATAGAAGGTTGGCAAACAAATTGATGCAACCTAAACTAGGGTATTGGCACAGTTAATATATAGGAACAGTCAGGAAACTCCATACAAATGCTCAAAACGTCACACTCACACAAACATGCACAACTACGATCATAGATTACTGAATATACTACGAGACTCCTAAGCGAACGACCACAAACTAATAAGACTACTAACGTAACGACGCGACGCGGTGCTCTCAGTACAGTAGCGAGTGCCGCGTGACGACGTAGTAACGTTTAAGTTTGTCTCCACGATCTTTTTAAAAATGCCACGAACGTATTGCGTAGTATAGGACTATTAAAACCGGAGCTATCGTATTTTAAACTTGTAAAAGGTTAGGTACGACGTAATGACAGAGTTAAAGATCTATAGCTCTACAAGTTGTATGTTAATATTAAATTGTTTTTCGTGTTTAAACTAGGGATGAGCCGAATATGGATTTCACCGAATACGAATATTCGGTAAAACTTTTACCGAACCGAATTTTCGGCCGACCATTATTCGGCAGGATAACCTCGGGACCCAACCAATTTATGTCGAAATTGGTTACCATAAAGTGCGCGGGATTAGCGCCGGACCCTGCCTCTCGCTCCCCCGCCACACCTGACAGTTATTGCATCATCTAGGACTGAAGAAATTGCTGGCACATGCTTATGTTTTGACTATTCTTGTGATAAAAAAAGTATTTCGTTGTTATCCCCTCGTCTGCCGGCCGGCCATTTTGCAAATATGTCGCGTCTGCTAGAGCCTTAGCAGGTAATTTCGCGATATCGGCGCGTGGCGATTAAATTAGTAATTTCTCTAAAATATTGTATGGAAGCTATGTATAAAACTTATTTCATATGAATTGTTATATTATTTGCTATTACTCTGTAGATATCTTAGTTGAATATTACTTAATAGATTTTATTAAAGCCAATTTCAAAGTTGGGAAACCAAATTTTTAATAGTATTTTGTGCATAATTTGTGAAAAATTAAACAAAAAAAATCATTCTTTTATAAAATAAATGTGGTTTATTTTCATCAATATACACTAATTTATAATAAAAAAGCAAAAAAAAAAAAACCACAAATTCCTATATATTTTTACCCCAAAAGTTTTTTACAATCTTAACCCATGAACGGCAATCCAAGCATCGCACAAAAAGTAGCATATATTGTTAGTTTTATTTTGAGAAATGAGCAAGTCAAATGACGTGCGATAATTTTAACATTAAGTATGGTTCAAGTTCTTAATTTAGACAAAATTTCATTTATAAAAAGAATGTAATGAATTTTTAAGCAACAATAGAGATAAATGTAAGGTAAGTAAGTAACGACCGTTTATGTTCGAATTTTTTTTATTTTTTTTTTATAAAAAGGATACATATTCCTAAATTATGAATTAAAAACTGTTGGTTATTAACCCTTCCATGTTTAAATAGCACCAAACTTCACTATTTGTTCTATTTACGAATAAAAATAAGGACAAAAACCGGGACGGGTGACCACATAAAAGCGACGTTCGCATGCGACTGCTACATAGGTATTTATTCGAAATTTCTAAACATTGATCATACAAAGCTACTAGTCTACTTTAGTAGCTTTGTATCGCATCCTCTTTCTTTGGTTTATAATTTTCTATAAGTAAAAGTGTGATAGAAATCATTGTCGCTGGTTATTTTACCCGCCAAATACGCAGTCGCGGATCGGCCAGAATCTGGTCGCTTGCCAGACGCGCGTAATTAACCATCGGCCAGAATCTGGCCGGTCGCCACACAAGGGGTTATTCTTAGTGAAAATTGATAATTATATGATAAAAATAAGCGGCAGAAGATTTACTATTTGGACTTATTTTAGAGAAACTGACGACCAAAGTAAAGTGAAATGTATGTAAGTAATGTAACGTTTCTTTGTTTAATTCCAAAAATATTTATCAAGTGTCTATTTGCTATAATCGGAAATATATCTGCAGTGCCTCAAAAACATAAATGTATAGATTTATGCATTTGAGGCACTAGAGTAAGTAGATTTAACCCATAAATAAAATATACTTTCAACAGTAAAAGACATCGCATTACTCAATTCGTACATTTCAATACATTGGACACTATGAAAACGAATGTTCGGTGATTTAGCCGAACATTCGGCCGAATACGAATATTCGGTAAAGTTGCCGAATACCGAATATAAAACGAATATTCGGCCCATCTCTAGTTTAAACTATTGTCTTTTGCTGAGATTAACCAAAGCCATGAAATTACCTACCTAAATTGTATTTGTAAGCTAATTATTTAGATTCCATTGATTGATCACTACATAACAAAAATGTTAAAAAATATCAAAAACATTAAAAGCAAAACCCTATGCTTCAATGGAGCGTAGGTAATTATGTCCTCAACTAGGCTTAATTTCCTTACCGTACATATTTATACTGTGGTATTGGTGTAAATACTTATACCCCACGGAACAACTCCGTGTTATATCCAGACTAGCAATGGGCAACATTATGCAAAACATGCCGATGAGGGCTCATAATCTTACGCTCACTAGATGTCGCTAGAAGGTGAAATTATTTGTTAAAATGCAGTCGCACAGTGTCATCATTATTGAATAGTTACGATTTTATTATGTTTTTCGGTTTTTAGTAAATATATATAAGGTAACGGAACCCATTATGGACAGTTTAAGACCAATTTTTTATGTTTTCTACTATCTTTTGTAGATAAACGTTCATTACTTACTTGTAATAAGTTCATTTATTGGAAACTACTCTATTCTTACAACTTTTAGAAATATACTAAAATAACAAAAGCATTTGAAAACACCAATGATGGACAGGGTTAGTTCCAGTTTTGTACATCCAATGTTGGAACAACCTCCAATCATGAATATCTAGTGATGGACACTGAACATTTATGCAAGGAACAAAATAAAACATGTAATTTATATTAATCAGTCTTTCATACTTTTTATTGAGCACAAAAATATTAGTTTTTATATTAGAAATGTAAAAGCAAGTAAAATAATAAACTCTAAAAGAAAAAATATCCGGTAAATATTTTTCCATTTCTTTAATATTATAGAACCCCCGCTTATTCAGGAGCAAGGGGTCATTAATTTTCTCTATAACGTCTTCTGCCTTGTACGATATTTTATCTGGTCATCTGAAAGAGTGTCCTGCACATAATACCGTTATACTTATTTCATATAAATTCCGTTCTGTTTTTTCTATTCTACCCGGAAAATATTCTCCTTCATATTTTACAACAACGTAGGAGCCATTGGTAACACCTATAGTTTTCTTCGTACACTAAGTTTTCTTGTTAGAAACTATTATTTTACTTAAGGCCGAATACGAAGAGAACTGGCGAAAATTAATGTATTTCTCTTGACTAGAACTTTGACCTGAAGTAATTCTAAGCTTTAAAACATTTTTGTAGGTTTGTTCGGGTCCTTCACAAGGTCACCGTAATTTTAAAATTTTAAAATAAATGAATATACCAACAAATAAAAAAATGTTAAAAAATGATAGGTATATAAAATTATTGTTCCTCCAAAACTCTGAATTTCAATTTAGGAATAATTCTTTTACGTAAAAATGTTTGTATTGTGATTCCGAAGGTACCTGCTATCTTTATTTTCGATACAAAATATTATTTATTAACATAATTCGTTTTAATTAAAAACACCTAATAATAATATCGTAAATTGCCAGATAAAAGTTTGCCGTAATAAATTACCAGGCGCTTCGACGTGTGACGCAAGGTAACAACAGTCGATGTGTCTGTAGCGAAAATCGTTAATTTAGTGTTTTATACGCGTTTACGTGTCTATAAATGTTAATATGGGTAGGAAAAGAAATAAATGTTACCTAAGTGGTAAAACAAAGAGTTTATCGCATGAACGCTGCTCGAATGTTGTATTTTGAGGTTAATACTTATATTTTTGTAAGGTAATTTTTTGTTTGAGGCTGCCTAAT